CCCCAAAACCCCAAAACCCCAAAACCCCAAAACCCCAAAACCCCAGATGAGGATTAAAATATTGAAAAGGCTACTTAAGCTATAATCCCTCGTGGTCAGAATCGGAGCTGTTTTGGTCAACCCTCAGGAGACATCTGAGCTTATGATCGAGGTCTGACTTCCAATACTGGTTATCCTTCGGCTGCGGCAAATGGAGAGACGGAATAAATTTCGAGTCCATCCTTTCTCCAACAGAAAGTCTCTTAAAAGTCCGCTTAAGGTCAAGATAAGATTCAAGCTTATCGTCAGACTCTTTGTTGAATATGTTTGATGTACCTAAAGTATTGTCCAATAGCTTACCGAAGAACTTGATCTGGATGTCATTCAAGGACTCTATCTCGTCACGTTGCCTAAACATGTAATAAGTATTAACTTGGATATATATCAAATTTCCAAATTGGTGCACTACAAGGGAAGCAAACTTACTTGAGATTTATCATTCCCCTCTTAGATCGATGAGGGATAAGCCTGGTCTTGAACCTCCTTGGATTTGTATTATGCTTCAAGGTTGAACCTTTGCTATGAAATAAGGAAAACTTGACTTACTTCCCCATCGAACCTCCTCTTATACTCTTATCAAATCTAAGATCTTGAAGTTCTGTCTTGAACACAGGTATAGAAGGTTTCTCATGATTTTCTTCAACTAAATCCCCTAATTTTTATGAAAGAAGTTTACCCATAGCTTGGCCAGTGAGGAAGAATGAGTTATCTTCGATTCTTTTCTCCTGCTCAACATGCTTATCGTACTCAACAGTCTGTATCACTGATTTAAATCTTCTTGAGTCATTAAATTTAGCCTTATTTTGACTTTCTCTTATGGCTTTTCTTTGGGTGATGCTGACTAGTATGACTTCTTAACCTTTTGTCTCGTCTAGAATCAACATCTCGAAGATTCTCTAGAATCTCTTTGGAGGTTATACTTGTCAAAGGATTATGGTTTCCAAACCTAGCTATTGACTGCCTAACTATAGTATTTCCTGGTTGAAAGGAAGCCATTGCAGATCTATCCTTAAATGCGACATAATTCGATTGAGTAGGTTTTGCAAATGACCATTTGAGTTTATTCTTTTCCTTCTCCAGATCAACAATGTTCTTAATCATCATATTGTTCCTATCAACCATCTCTCTTACTGTAAATTTTGTTGAATGAGGTTCTAAAAGTTCAGAGTTCAATTACTTTGATGCATAAAATCATTTCTGGGTGGCCTCAAACCTCCGTTGCCATTGTGAAATGAGGTGTTTAAGCTCTGAAAACCGAACCCTACATGTAAAAGACCAAAAAATTAAGGCTAAAATACCTTTAGATCTGTCAGACACCGAATTTAGCCTGCCATGTTTTTGGCTTTCATTCTTCTTCTCAAGCTGAATCAAATGCCCACCGTAATAAGAAGTGTAGGAATTATTATCGATAGATCTCCTATCTTTTTGGAAGTAATCCTTTTTCGCCTTGCTTCCAAACTTGCCTTCAATACTTTGGTGTATCAGCGAGGATCTAACACTACAAGTCTTTGGCACAAGTAAAGGTCTGGCCATGCTATTTTGTTGCCACTTCTGTTTTTTATCAAATATTTGATCATTTTCACCCATAATATCAGTAGGCATTAACTGTTCTTCCTGGAGTTGGAAATCAGGGTTTCTATACCAAATCGTTACACCCATCAGCCAAAGCACTAACTCATATACACGATGCTTTGAAAACTAGGCCTAAAGTGGATTCCTACTTTTTAAAATTGATCTGTTTGTTCAAATCCAGCATGGCTGTTTTCTTGACCCTATTATTAATCATCGACAAGGCTTACACTTTCGCAGTGAAGTCCATCCCATTCAAGGATCCGTCCCTTTTATACGGGGAGTAATTACTAGAGATGGCAGAATAAGTGCCTTTATCACTCTTCTTCTGAAAGCTATCATTTATATTATTTATTCGATGTTTTTATAGACTTTTTAGACTGAACCAAGCTCTTGGACTCTTCTTCCTTCACATCTTCCTCATTGTAATTCTGTGGAATGCTTCTGCTCTCAATACTGGGGGTTAATTTCAAGTCTGTGTTCATTTTCGTGCGTGTATCGTCTATTCTTTCTAAAGAAATTGTTTTCATAACCTGCTAGGTAAGATAAAAATTATAAAATATCTCTATATTTCATAGCACTTGGGGTTTTGGGGTTTTGGGGTTTTGGGGTTTTGGGGTTTTGGGGTTTTGGGG